TAAATGTATTAAATAAGCAAATAAGACATTGAATTGATTCCTTGGTTTAAATCAGCATAGTTACCTGGGAATTCTGGTGGACTTTCCTTCAAAAACATTTTGGTCTGAACTTATTTGTTTGACCTTACTTTTTTGTATGATTACATTATAACAGAATGTAGGCAAATGTTTTTGTATACAGTATTCTATTTCTGTAAATAAAAAGCAAGAAATTGAAGTGCTATTGTTAAATTGTGCAGTTAAATTGTAAATAAAAAGCAAGAAATTGAAGTGCTATTGTTAAATTGTGCAGCCTGATTTAAATGTTAAAACATTTATTTTCTCTCCAAGTGGCATCTCTGGGGAAGTGTAAAAAAAAAAAAAGCCAGTCATGGCAACTGATTGAAACCGTACCCCCTTGTACATGCATGTGTTTTGACACACATACAAATCAGATGGGGTGTGGATTGCCGCAACTTCTATCTGAACATTTTTTACACACCCTCGCTAGTTGGATGCTCTGAATCCCACCTTTTCAGTTCATTTGAAGACCCCAGCATTTAAAACAGTTTAAAAACAATAAAATCAGGTAGAAATTTCACATCTAGTAGCAACAACAAAAGTAGCAGTGAAAGAAAATAATTATTGAAATTAAAACCAGTCTAAAAACAAAGAGGGCATGAATATGTTTGTTATAATTGTCCTACAGATGGGTACATTGGAGACAGTGATCAGACTCTGTCAATATAGCTTTTAGCTTTATGAGCTTAAAGTTAGAAGATTTATCTAGATCTAGAAATAAGATTTAGAAAGCCATTCTTTAGAAAGTGGATAACTTCAGTTGATATCGTATGCATGCATTATAACGTTTTTAAATCATATGCAGGAAACTTGACAGACATATTTAGGAAAATATCCAGTCTAAATGTAATTAATAGTGCATTTTTAATTGTTTTTAATATTCCTTTTTAAAAGAGTGTTTTATTCCAACTACAAACTTATTTCGTATATCATATTGTACAAGAAGTTAAGAGCTCAATAGCCTTTTATATATGACATTATATTTAAGGCTGGCTAACCTGAACCAATCCTGAATTACTAGCACTTTATCTGTTTATTCTCATAAACAAATGACTTGATTGGAGATTGATTCAATGACTTTAATACAAATTTAATATTCGAATACAATTTTTACTGATTGCATGATTAAGGTCTTCGAATGTGGGTACAGCCTGGGATTCCCTTGATTATAATCCTTTTGATTTATTATAATTTTATAAAAATATGATTACTTTTATGAAACTGAACAGATAGCTCAAATTAGTTTTGTAAGACACTAACAATTCTATTTAACATACATTAATTTCTTAGGTGCAGGTGATTAGGAGCAGAATATAGGCAATAGTCTTCTATTAAGTAAGATCTCTGTACATCCAGTTCATAATTATTTCTATTGATAGTCAGTAGGTCTCTTGGGTGGGTGGGGGGTTGAGAAAGGAGTTTTGAGACATGTGATACCACTATCAGGTGCTGTCAGTCCCTTACAATACTCCCCTCCAGACAATGTATTGCTGTTTTATAGCAATAGCAATAGCAGTTAGACTTATATACCGCTTCATAGGGCTTTCAGCCCTATATCATTTGTTTCAGGAAAAAATGTTTGGTAAAATGAAAAATAAACATTTCTGTAACTTATTTTCTGCCTGGTGTGTGACTTGTGAGTAGTTTCTGCCTTCTCAATATTCTGGCTCCATAGTTTAATATATTTGATTAAACTGGCATAAGTAGTAGTTGGAATCCTTATTAACAGTGTGAAGTTAACATTATTGGCAGCAGTGGTGGGATTCAATTTTTTTTACTACCAGTTCTGTGGGCATGGCTTGGTGTGTGGCAGCGGAAGGATACTGTAAAATCTCCATTCGAAGGGAAGGTTACTGCAAAATCCCCATTCCCTCCTGAGCAGCTGGGATTTAGGAGGCAGAGAATAGATGAGGTGGGGCCAGTCAGAAGTGGTATTTACTGGTTCTCTGAACTACTCAAAATTTCTGCTACCAGTTCTCCAGAACTGGTCAGAACCTGCTAAACACCACCTCTGATTGGCAGCCTATACTAACTTTAGGTGGGCTGTCCAGTCATTACCTACAACATACCTATAATGGTTTTATAATAAAGTAGTCCCAAAGTAGAATAGGCCCAAGGATGACTCACTAGTGGAGCAAAAATATGGAAAAAGCAGAATTTATTGCCTTTTCTGTTTCTCATTATAAATACTTTACTTAGGATGAGAAGAAAGAGAGAGGGAGATTTTTCATCAGTCCAGCAATTGGAAGCGTTTGGACAAGCAAACCTAACTTTCAGCTGCTGTGATGCCACCTGATTCAGGTAGGTTCTGACTATAGAGGATCAAACCACTATAAAGAGAGGGACAGGTTTTCCTCTGTCAGATATCCTATTCTACTCTTTCAGTTTATTTATCTAATATTAGACTTGCTAAGGCAACTTTAATGCCTTACATTCATAGGTTTAGTTTAGCTAGAGTTCGTGACCCGACAAATACGCGCATGACAAAAGCGCGTTGACAAAACCGCGGCGCGAAAACTGCGACGTCATCAGCATGCCAACAACAGCGCACCGACAACAGCGCGATTTAAGTTAAGGTAAGGGTTAGGGTTAGGTTTAGGGTTAGGTTTAGAGCGTGCTTCTGTCGGCACGCTGTTGTCAGCGCGTTTCAGCGCTCATTCGTCGGCACGGTTTAGAACTCGCGGTTTTGTCATCGCGATTTTGTCGGGCACGCTTTTGTTGGGCGCCCTTTTGTCGGTGAACCGCTAGAGTTATGGTTGCCAGATTCTGTCTCTGGTAGTCTTTTGATCACTATTTTTCATTCTTCAGATTTATATAGATCTGAAGAATGAACAATTGTGATCAAAAGATGATTCTGGGTGACTTTTGACCACGATGCCACCCAGAGTCATTTTGGTTTGTGCTGGTTGGCCATACACAGTATATATGATAAATAAATGGTAATACGTTACATACATCTTTTACTAAGCATCAACCAACCTTTATTGTAAAGGGTTTGTACTTTAGATACACACCTACGTACAGGTGTTGAAGGATCAGTTTCATCTTGTCATTTTTGAGGTTAAAAAGTCTTCAAGGACCACTGTCAGTCGCTGTCATTACTAATGTGAAAGGGATAACCGTCTTTCAGCACGTAATTCATCACACACATCGATTTAATGGGTACTGCTAAGCCAGTTTGATTCGCGTGGAATTAATGTAGATCAGGGAATGTACAAGGGAAGTGTAATGTTAAGATGCAGCATACTTGAACAGCAGTGAGAAACGCAGGGAAGTATATGATACTAACTGCATTATTTGCCCTGTAAGCCAGTCTTGTTACAAGTCTGCTGGATCAGACCTTTCCCCAAGATGACGATGGGGGAGGGAGCAAAAGTGACAGGAGAAAGGACTGCTCTCCATACTGTAATTTGTGAAATACAAGACTGCCCCTTGCACAATCCAATCCATCTAGCCCTTCTGGGGGGTGGGGGTGGGTGGCTTTAAGAGCTTCAGCTGATTGACAACATTTATCAGGAGGAAGTAGGACGAAGCTGCTGCATATGAAGAACGTACTGCAAAGAAGCAGGTAGAGGTATTTTGTATACACTGTAAATACTGACTTGTAGATTTAATTAGATATACCCCGAGCCAAAATCTTTTTAATTGGAAAAAACAAGCCCTGCTCGCATGGATCTTGAGGGGTGGGGGTGGGGAATGTAAGAGAAATAATGCGCAGCAGGATGAAGCTACTAATTGTATTGGCAGCGGATGGTCCGTTTCCTTATCAAGTCTCAGAATAAGGAGATTAAACAAAAGCACGTGTCATTTTTTTTTATTTCCTTGGCGAGGTAAGGCAAGCAGTCACTTTGATTTCTAGGCAGATGCTGAAGCTCCCGGCACGGAACGCCTCCTTCCTCCATCCCCCCCTCTAACATAGCGGCCAGAGATGTCTCTTCCCCACCCCTTTCTGGAGGAGAGTTTCGCACAGGCGCGCAGCTGCGCGCTCTTTACACGCTCAGTCACTCTCATGCTAGGTCCGTCTTAAGCATGCTGTCTCTCTCTCTCTTTCGCGCGCCCGTACGCGCGCGCGGGCGCGCACCCACAAATACACACGCAGGCGCACACGCAGGGAAGCAGGAGAAACGCAAACGTAAAAAAAATAGGGAGTCTATATGTGGTGATGTCGGGGCGGGGGGGGGGGAGAAATCTCAGTTGCACTTCTGGCCCTTTTAAAAAGTTTGTGTAAATTGGAATGAGGTCAGATTTGGAGCTTCTCATTGCACACGGTTATTGGGTTCCAAGCCAATCAGAGCCGAGGGG